GTGCAGGCGACTGAAGATGTCTGCCGTTCTGATGCCCTGGGATGGACCGGCGCTTCTCAAAAACGATCTGGAAACTGGTTTCTTGTGAAATTTTGAGAAGCCACCAGATGAACCAGAATGAGAATCCTGGGACAGCACAGGCTGTGCGAGGCATAATAATCTTCTCCCTGGCCGGGGCGGGTCGAAACTCCAGTCGTGGTAGGGGCTATGGCCATTACCTATGCCTAGTACATAGCCTGCACCCGTAATTGCAAGCAACATTCGCACGGCGGAGCGACTCTGCCGGTGCGTGACTGCGAGTGCCTTAGCCTTAGCGTTCCAAAGTTTGAGCGAATTCACTACATACCGATATAGGCTAAAATCCAGGCGAAGCTGGTCCACGATTCTACCAGTCCACCATTTTCTCTCTGACCCTTGGCCTTCAGAAGCGAATTTGTACAGAGAGAGACGCAGAGCTTGAAAGTCGAAAGCTTCGGTACGGATCATCTCTGCTCCATTGCACCCGCCCTTTCCCGACGCGGCTGCAGCGCGTGGAGCTTGTGTTGCAGTTTCTCGGTCCGTACAAGTACCAGCGGATCCGTGGCTACTTGGAGACTCGGCAGTGATATGGTAAGCTTGCGTGACTTAATTAGCGGTCTTGTATCGATGACAGCCCACGTTTGCTGGCCTCACCGCCTGGCGACTTTTCTGCGGGGCTGCTCATTATCGCATAAGGCCCGTTCAAAACCCCACGGCAAGGTGCCAACCCACCTAAAGGAACAAGACATCTTGAACCCCATAACTGAAGTCGCCTTTGGAGGTTCTAGAGTTCTAGAACTCAGAATCCGATGTGCTGTGTGGGCACATCAACCTTCAAGGCGTATGGTCCGTGCCGAAGCCCTGCAAAGCTCCGAGGTAAACGGTCCAAGACAGCTGCCGAGGCACTCCCGAGCCGCTGAACTCTGCCGCACACTTGCAGTATAAAATAAGTAACCGCAAACCACCAACAAGGTAAGTGTGATTTAAGACGGGTAGCAAGTGATTAGCGATACACATTTTCCAACGACCGATCGGGTCCCGAGCCATCGGATGCCCAGATGACGTTCCCGCTGCTCAGAGGGCGGTGCTCCTTGGGGGCATCATGTCAGAGGACAGCGCAGCGCAATCATAAACCCGCTAGAAACGCACGAATGAACAAAACAGCGATCGATCGAAGTGATGGCGACGACCATGACGAGGACGCCATTTCGACAAGAACAAGAGCGATAGGCCAGCAAAACCACTACCGGCAATAACAATAACAACAAAAACAAGCACGGTAACCATAAAAATAACAACAGCTACAACTCCAACGAAAGCAATGGCAAGAAGCAGAAAAATAGCAAGAGCACCACCACTGCCGCCGCCGCCAACACCAGCACCACCAACAAAAACAACCACACCAACACCAACACCTCCTACTACTGCTACTACTACGACGGCGACTACTACTACAACCACAACCCACACCACCGGACAGGGGGCCATGCTCTAACCGTTTTCGAGCTTGGGTGGGGCGGGTAGGCAAGTTGTGTTTGAATTACGCTCTTATGCTCAGTAGCCGTTTTTTTAGAGAGCTCTTCTCAAAAAACAGGCTTTAGATTTAGGATTTCAGGTTTATGGCAGAGTACTTGGGGTGATGGTTGGCCTTACTGTATGTAGTTGAATATTGTAGACATCCTCCACTGTAAGCAAATAACAAAACAGCTCCTCGGTTTGCATGACAGACTTCCATATTCACGCCACATCACCAAAAACAACCCCACAGGTACACCCAAGTATGTGAGCAACGAAACATGGCGATCGCACATGTCCATGATGCGAACTCTGACTGTCTGCGTGGCATTAGCAGACTTCCTATGGTTTTGTGATTGCCTGTCTGGCGACAACTTGCCTGTGTGCTTACGTAGATTTTCTGTCGAGTGCATTCAGAGTACAGAGTTTGTCCCTCCATGCCTCTTCGCCCTCAATGAAACAGTTTTCCGGAAGCTCGGACCAAGCAAAGCTTGCAATATTTTCCTTCAGGGCCGCTGGCCGCTTGCATCTACAGAAAAAAATGCGCACGGATTCTCCTCAAGCCTACAGTAAGGCTGGAACCTGAAGGCTTCAGTTTATAGCGACGTGCTCAAACAGAAAGATTGGCCACATGACGCTTCGTGATGTGAGCCTCGCAGCCTTCTCCTTCGTCCTACGTCAAAAGGCAGGGTATACCAGCTTAGAAATAGCTTTTGGAGATACCTAGTCGTAGCCCGCATGAACCTTTGGACTACCCCTGCGTCACTTGTAAAATTGTCTTCAGTCAGTAGCCCTGAGATCCATGTCTAGTAACATACAATAACAGAAGCATGGCGAACACTCAGCCACGAGCCGAAAGGCTCCGACTCGAAACGTGCTTAGCTCTTCGGCAGCCTCGGCAGTTACAGCAAAACCAATGTGGACGACTTCAGCACGTATACGAGCTTGGCTTTCCATGCTCGAATCTACGAATATCTAAGAGTCGCAAATAATCGTTTAGAAATACTAGCCTTCTCCTTGGACGAGGCCTTACAGCATCGGCTTCAATTACATTCTGCAGTGCATACGACCGAGATGACCTGGCATTTCCGTTCGGGAGTGACTGTTGTTGTGCTTGCTGCAAGGATCCGACTAACAGGGTCGGCTGCTACTGCTGCAGCTGCTGATCATCGCTACCAGCATCATCAGCACCGCAAACTAGTAACGGGGGTAAGAGCAATAACTGTTCCAGCAAAGAGATTGGCACCTCAGCGACGGTTGCCACCCTCCGGTTGCACGGGATGGCGAGGAGGAGGCCTGGTGCAGGAGCTCTAGAATTAACGGGTTGAGCAGTCAGAAGCAGAACGCTCTTTACATGTAAAGTAGGCCGGGAACGCTTGGCTGAATTTATGCACTGCGCCTGGAACCTTCGAGGTGGCAAATACCATGGACCTCCAGAGACCTATAGTGCTTAAGCAGCTGGATCTGCAAAGTCCCTGCTGCAAAATTAGGTACGAGTACAGTAACTGGAAGTATCGCCAAAGTAGTTTTTACTTTCAGTTCACTATGACTTGGCGCCAACATGATCCATATTACCACCGAAACCCGCTTCAAACGACCTCGGCGTCTCCCGCGTGACTCAGGAAGTCCGGAGACAGACCTTGGTCTCGTGCTGCCGTCTGGGCGAATCTTGGAGGCCCCAGAACGCGAACGACCACGATATCTACAGATGCGAAATGCACCCTGCCAGCAATCCTGTATCGAAAATGACACAAACAACCCGCCGCATGAATAACTGCCCACTAACTGTCCCGTGTCTTGTTTTTCAACGCTTCGAGAGCCTTACAAGAAGTACTGCTTCTTGTAGGACGTTTGCTAAACTGCTACAGGTCGGGTTTGGGCGATGCATAGACGGCATAGACATCAACTTATCGGAAGTAGCACTTGCCGCACTTCAGTGGGCCAGAATTGCAAGTTTCGTGCGGGGGTATGCGATTGCGGTTGTCGGCATCGGCTGTTCGATTTCGACTCTCACACTCGCACAAGGCAGGCAAGGCTATTCGATTCAGCTTCTTGCTGCCTGGTCGGTAGGGTCCGAAACCTATACCTTGAGTTGAAAGAAGCTTTCTGAGAATTGGACTTTGATTCGTTTCAAATCCAGACTACATGCTAGGTAGTCCGGTCAATCTGGGTGTCAGGTGATGTCAGGTGAATACCAGGCCCGACAAAGCTGACCACACCACACCAGTGAAACGCAGCTTGTGTGAATTTGTAAGAATCTGGACATCTTGCTCGCGCTGGTAGTGCAGATTCGCGGTCCAGATGATGATGGTGATGTTGATTGAAGCCCCACCCGAAGAAAACAAAGCTCGACCACGTTCGTTGAGCAAGGTTCCTGAAGTTTCGGGGGGTGGGTTTTCCCTCCGGAGCATCGCTTCCGACGACGAGCAAGGGGCTCACCAGTATGAGTTGCCCATCGGCTATCACAGAGCCGGGGGGTCGAGGAGCTAAAGTAATCAATGATGAACAATCACGCGACATGCCAACAGCCGTCAAGCCCCCTTCGTGCAGCACAGGGGTTCCTACCTACCTGCCCGCACACAGGCACAAACACATACGCACCTTAACCAAAAGCGAGAAATGTGGTCAACCGTTGGACTACAATGCATGTGAGCGTGGTCTTTGCTCTGATCTCTGGCGAACGATGTGTCAGCCGAGCGCATCTACAGTAGGCAAAGGCCTAGTGGGAGGTCGTTACACAACACATGGAAAACGGAGAGCCTGCTCCTTCCATGGATAAAGCATCCCCAGTCTAGCGCAAGTTCATGGCCATCCGACAATCTGTCTATGACATCTGTCATACAACTGAGTCCTACAAGTGCTCGCATCTCGCCCTTACTGTCTCCGTAAGTTGCAGGTAGTTGGGATCTGATATAGGCCCACGGCTGGCCAGCTGCGCACCCACTGAGTCCTAGCAGCTCTGTGCGGCTTCAACGGCTTGAGGTTCTGGTTCCCAGTTGCAGTTGCTAAAAAGGCTAGAGCTGTAGTCCATAACCTGCCTGCGATATCAATGCTTGCAAGCGCAGGCCCTGTGGGCACAGGACTGAATCGCTGTCATGAGTTGCATCATACTGCGTAGAGTGTAGAAGCTAAGCATCATGATGTCCAGGGATTCGTCCTCGAACTCCGCGGCAGGTCCTGGGGAGAACATCATCGCACCTCAAGAGCCGATGCCGACAGTTCAGAGAGGGAAGGTCTTTCGAGTTTGAGTTTCCTATGGAGTCAGGTGTTGAGGAGTTTACGGCATACAAGTATCTACATCCTCACCGCACAATCGCTTTTCTACGAGAACCGAAAGTTAAATAAGTCAAATATTTTCACGTCCGTCTCTCTGAACGTAAACTGCGACGAAAACCAAAGCCTGCAATACTCCTCCATTCTTTTCAGATTCACGGCGCGGAATACAACCCTTAGAAGGTCAGGGCTCGGCGTCCAGAGTGTAACGTCTGGAGGGGGGAAGCTGACTACACCTGAACTTGAAACCTTGAACCCCAACCTCCCCAAAACGAGTGGCCACTGTCTAGTTGGTGCAAGACTCTGGCCAAGGCCTCGCCATGCAGAACCGTTGAACCAGTGTTTGTGACTCTCCCGACGGCAAGTGCAAAGCCCTCTGAGACGCGGTCCGAAATTGCTGGCTTTCCTTGGAGGGCTGTCGCATGTCAACATCAAGGGGCTGAATGCAATCCGACAATTTTCGTGAATCCATTTCATGTAGAAGTACGGCGACGAAATTATTGCACGCTCAGCAAAGCTCCGGTTCGGAATAGGTCCTTCTTCCTTCACCTGCGGCGGAGCACCACCCAAACGCCCCGAAACGGGTCGGACAAGTACTCTGCCAGAATGTACGTATGCTGAAATTGAAAAAACAATGCCTATCATATTAAAGATCTTTCAAAGCGATGATCGTATGAAAGGTCCAGGTCTTATGCAGCAAGTGCGCCACGAACCATGAATCACGCGCGGAGAGGCCCTAACTTTTGCGACGAAAGCACATGCTGTAGCTTGGTGCTTCTATGCTTGTGCAATGCTGAAGCTCTTATTAGGCTTTGCCCTTGCTTGCCAACGATCGCTCGCCTTGAGCTCTCTCCAGACATGCTTGGGCCGGTATCGGAACCAGCACTGAACTGCACCTCTGTACATGCAGAACGGGTTTCTGGCTTCAAAGGGCTCTAAAGATAAACTGGCGGCTTCGGGTTTCCACACTCCTCCTTGGCGGTGCCGTCAGGTAAGCGACATCAATAAATTCGATTGCCGCCGTTCTCCAAACAGCATCTGCACAGAGTCACTCTTGCAACACGGCCAGCATGTCGTAGACCCCAGCATTCGCGGAAGATATGTAGATGATCTCTTCCAGGAACTTGAAAGAAAGGTCCCGAAATCACTTCTCGAGTGGGTGGAGGAACCGGTAGTACTCGGGTGAAGGCTGGCTCATAGTCGGCTTGCGTGGATTGGTCCTTAAAAGACTTCTTCTTCGGCTGTTTGTGCCGGCTTGTACTCGAAGTAGATGAAGCTGCCGTTGGGTCACCGGAGACCGAGTCATCTTCCTCGCTCGTAGGATATCGTGGGGCTGGCGAACATTCCGACGGCATTGTTTCATCGAACTTCTCCTTCAAGTCCCAGAGCCTCTCCTTCTTTTCCAAAGACAGGTCCTTTGGGTCACAGCCCAATAGACCCTGAAGCTCTTTGAGCTCCATTCTTGTAAGCCTCGTCTTTGACATGTTAGCGGCAGCCCGGAGGGTCCTCACCTTCGCTTCACGAGGGCAAAGGCAATACTTGGTTCCCTCCCAAAGACCAATGATAGCAATTCCCAGGACAATCACCGCCAGGTACAAATCCCAAGGTATCTCATCTCAGTCTTTATATCTTGTTTCTGGGCTGCTGTTCCGCAAACTTGGCAAAGTAGAAGAAGTCGATGTAGCCACGCCCTTTCCACCGCTCTCGCTTGTCGTACCTCCACTGTAGGTCGGTAATCTCTGATTCCCCACATGGCAACCAGCTGACGTAATCGCTCTCGAGTAAAGGGCTTAGTACCGAGGTCTGCCCTTTGTCTTTCGCCCGGCACAAACTTGATGGACATCTGTTTCTTCGCAACCATCTCTCGAACCCAATTGCTTCGTAGTCGAAGGTGACGCGTTCTCCAAGATCCCGAAGAGGTAGTTAGTAAGGAGATCGCTGCGCTATTGTCGACCCAGACTGTAAGCAATAGTTCCCGACCCAGCAACTCCGTCAAGAGTCCCTTTGTAGAGAGGCCAAGCGTAGCGCCTTCTACAGCCTCCAAAAGCTCTGACTCTGCTGTTGACAAAGTCACTAGTTGTTGTCGTCCTGAACGCCACACCAGAGGACTCTGGCCGTAGAACACCACTGCCGCTCCTTGTGATCTTCCCCCGCTCGGGGCAAAGGACGAATCAGTAAAAACACTGAGCTCCATGATCTCCTCCTCTTCCTCCTGGCCCAAGGCTAGGCGGTAGTGTCGCGTCTCGTTGAGGTAGTCCAGGAGTCGTTCTCCTAAACGATTAACCATTGCAGGACATCGAGTAATCCTTGCTGCCATAATCGAGACTGTATGCTGAAGATCCGGCCTTGTTCGTCCCACCAACCAAGGCAACTCCCCAACCCGACGTTGTGCTTCCTTGACCTCGGCAGACTTGGGATCAATCACTGTAGGCTCTGCGTCGATGATGGCCCGCTCCTCCTCATCACTCAATAACAGCGTTTCTCTTGGTCCCTGAGACTGAGACCTCCCCCCTTTATGGTTGTGTGCCCTGAGGATCTCGTTGATGAAGCCCTCCTGTGACAACTCAACCCCTTTTGAGGTTCGGTACATTTCCATTCCCAAAAACCGGATTGGGTGGTTGTAGTCAAGAACGTCAAGTGCATCAACCTCCCATTTCGCTGCCACCCATTTGAAGAAGCCATGCATTGCCTCCTCCTGAGAGTGGATAAGGAGGTCGTCGATGTAGACAACAACGTAGCCGTAGGTTTCCTCTTTACCACTTGTGGACACGATCCTCCATATCTGATTGTCCGAAACCAACTGCTCCAGTTTCATAGGTACATCAACACCATCGATTTCCACCGTCCATCTCGCCATTGTCAACTGCTGGTCACGGAAGTTAGACCAAAGGGCCGGTGGCCGGTGACTCCCGCAACCCATAGATGGCTTGTTCAACATACCAGACGTCTCCTGGAGAAGCCAAACCCAGCTGGTAGGCGATAGTCGGCGGCTCTAAAGCCACTGGAAGTCTCAACCACTTTGCAAGGACGAATGCTTGGCGTACATCCGTAGTGCCTATTCGCCACGGTTTGTGACCGTGCACTGAAAGGAGTGTTCGTATGGAAGTCGCGTCCACGCCCGCCGCGAAGAGGTCGCATGAGTTCTCGTTTTCTGGCACATGGTTGCCGCAGGCGACGAACCGAGTCTTTCGTCGGTAGCCCTCATCGCTCTTGTCAGGCTTCACGGTGTAGACGCCTTTACATGGCACAAGCCTGCACCCTGGAGGGAGTTCACTCTTCTTCTTCACAGTGAAGGCCTTCTTCACATCCTTAAGGTTGGTAAATTCCTTGAGTGCAGATGCCTTCCACAGATCAATATTCTTCTTCACCTCGTTCAAGCTGACATTGTGCGTCACCTCCAAAGGCTTTTTCGTCTTCTTCAGCTCAGACAGTAGGTGCTCAATATTGTCCGTGTACTGTACCTCTGCCTTCTTGATAGCCGCCTTGACATCAAGACCAGGTGGAACAAAGTCTCTCAATCCTTGAAGACCGTGGGGGCCACAATCACCAAGTAGGTCAAAGTCATCAATCTCCTCAAACACCGGGGTAACGGGGCCACGCTTGTCGCCCTCGAGCTTGAGCGTCTTCACCTGCAACGCTGGTGCAGATTCATCTGGAACCATATCTTCGTCATCGATCTCCTCCTCAGCCGCCAATAATGCCTCAGGACGTTGAAACCCACCTCATTGAGAGCTTCCACGTCACTGGGAGTCAGCTTGGTGGCCCGAGGGGTATAGAGCAAAAGAACCAACCTTGCTCCTTCCCACGGCTGAACTTCATGCCAAAGACAAGGTGAAAACTCAATAGCCCGTCCCTCCACCATCTCATAGCTCACTCCTCGAAGAGTTTTCCCATTGGCCAGCATCTTCTCCACACATTCCCCGTCCTTTACCTGATCTTGCTGTACCCACAAAGAACCACCCTTGAAGTCCTTTAACGGGAGAACGTAGTTCTTGGAGAGGGGGTAGTGGTGAGAGTCACGATGTAGCCCCAGTTGAGCATTCTGGGCCAGTCCCAGAGCGGAAAACTTCACATCCCCGCAGTGATGCTTGGCAAAGCTGGTCAAGTACCTCGTGGTCTGGGGGAACTCCTTCATATTCGCGCGGGCCCCGGCTACTCCTCCATGAACAAAAGCTCGAGTGTACCAGGATGTTGCACGGCTCTTTTTTCCCATCCTGGTGTCTGTATTCCCCAAGAGTTCCATCAGCTGATAGATTTGGGCCACAGCTTCGACGCGGTAGTCCTTTCCTTCCATCAGCTTCCGGGAGCGAAATTCAATCTCAGCCTTCAAGTCAGTGACCTTGGGGGGCTCTTCAGACATAAGGACTTCCTCAGGCAAACCACTTGCAACAGCAGGCGAAAGGATACCCTTGAACTCCTCCTCGGGGTTGACCACGTCAAACCTAACGCTTTTGGCGATTGTAAGACCGCCATCGTCCCGGGCCAGCACATGCCCTCGAGCAACATCCTGAGCTGGGCCACGATACCATCCTCGCTTCCACCGAGAACCTACAGCCTCGTGCTTCTTCTCTTGCTTCCCCTTGTAGTGTTTGGAACGGAACCATACCTCATTCCCGAATGAAGTCGCCGGTGGGGTACACAAAGGACTATCAGGAAAAGCCTTCGCCCACAAATCAGCAGAGGCATGCTGAACCGCCAGAGGCCAGTCCCGAGGTGGAGCTTTGGCTGCTGCCAGGAGAGCAGCGAACTCTCGCCTTAGCCCACTTGATGCCGAGCTCGGCCGAACTATTTCCGGCTGGATCTCCGCCAGCTGTCTTTGTATGCCGCAACTGGGCTTCCGTGGTCCACTCCCGGAATGCCTTGGCCTTGAACTCCCGGGCTCGGTCCGTGTGTACGATGTCAACGTGCAATCCGGTTTGTTTCAGCTGCAAGTAGATTTCCTTCGCAGCCTGGACGACATAGTGGTTCGTTCTCCCCCGCAGCGGCCGGGTGATGTAAACTGTGGCCCACTCACTTTGTTGTAGCAAGCCCTCAACTGCATCATCCAATGTCTCGGGACCTTGAGGTTTGATATCCTCCTCCTCCTCGCCAGAAACCATGGGGTCTTCACCTGCTACTGGTAGTGGGGAAACTTCCAAAGGGTCTTCATCTCCAGAACCACAAGGATCATCAGGTACATAAAGATCCATATCCAGTTCCTTGGCAGCCTTGGCGCTGAGGTACTCCCGCGGACATCTGTATACAGCTACCATTACGTACTTATAGTCATCATGCTCCATGTCTCTGCCCTTGTGTTTGAACGGTCCTGCCAAGTCCAATGCCATTGTATACATCTTTGCGTGAGCTCGGCGTCGATGCTGGTACCCAGTTGCCTGGGCATTGATGCAAACTGCACAATCTGCCCGG